TAATTTTTCTGTTATATATAATTTTTTTTAAGAAAAAAAATTTTTTTTTTGGAAAAATTATGGCTTTCTATTAAAAAAATAAAAGTTATTAAAAATTAATTACAAAGAAATAATTTCTTAATTAAATTTCTTAATTAAAAATTTATAATATTCGTTGAAATAATTTATTAGTAAAAGTTTTTTAAAATTTAAAATTTGTTTTATAACAAATTCTTTAATTAATAATAAAAATTAGATTGAATTAAAATTAATCGACGTATATGCACTTATCGAAAGAATAGACCACACACATTCATTCAAAAATTCGCATCCATGATATGGATTCGTTTAGCTTCAAATATTCATTTACATCCGCTTTCTCACCTCTTATATATAGTTTAAGCTGTATGGTCACGCCTATTTTAACTATATTCGAATACGTTATTCGTTGTATAAAGAAACTGAGGTATAAAACTATACTATTTTAACACGATTTTAAATGAAATCATTAAAAATTCAAATATTAAGATGAGATCATAATGTATATCATTTAAATGTATATACAAAAAATACATACGTAAAAATTACTAAGTAAAATAATTTTTTTAATATTTATATATAACATCTATGCATTTTTTCCTTTGTGTTAATTTCCGAAATGTTGAAAATTGAATGATAAACAATTTTGTTTGTAAAATTGAAGAATTCTCTATTTGAATGATTTGTGTTTATTGATTATTTTAAAAAATAATAAACGTGTTATTATATATAAAATAATTTAAAAAAAAATAACTTGAAATAAGTATTATTGCAATATGTATGATCCCATTCATGTTTAAAATACGATTCTCTAATTATATGAAGGGGTATATATCTTTGATCAAAAGTTATTGCCTTTATATGAGTAAAGTGGTTTATCATTATAGAAGTTTGAATTAATTCATTGCTGTACGATTTTTCTTAATTATCGTATTGAAATTAATTATGTAACTTATAATACAATAATATACATTTATGAATTTATAGAATTTCAAAATTTTTCAATATCAAAAAAATTTTCTAATTTCTTAAAAGCTAAATTTCTCAAAAAAAAAAAAAATATATAAAGTACGCATAGAAGAAATATATTTGTGGATAAATAATAAAATTCAATCAATATTATTAAATCTTTAAATATTCAAGAATTCTAAAATTCTTTTTCGAAATCTTTCAATTCATATAAAATAAATATATCTAATCGAAAAAAATACTTGACCATAAGCAAGCTACGTAATTCCTTACTTCCCACATGCATTTATGTTCAGAAATATTCACAGCCCACACCATGAATATTCGTCGATTACTACGATTTCTGTAATTCGCCTAGGGATATAATACGTATAGATAGGCATACCATAAATCGTGGCGTAACCATTGGTCGGAGGAATTAAAAGTAGTATGAAAGGAGAAAAAAAAATAAGAAAGGACTCAAAGAAGCATCTACTTACAGGACCGTCGTATTAGTTGGTACCCGTGGTATACGATTCAGCTTCTGAAGCATGCATCTCACAGTAGTCCCGAAGCACATACACTTGTGAGGGCATTCCACGTTCCTACCATTTTGCCATTGGTGCGCATAAAATGATGGCAGGATGAACAGGAGCGAACAAATGACACTTAACGTCAACCTCATTTTGCGATACCCACGTGATCAATCTTGTTCACATTGAAATTGTTCCTTGCACCATTTCACGTTTGCACGTGTTGCATGGATAAATGTATCTTCGCACAAATTATGGCAGCAATCTTTAGACACGCGATACTTTCACTTCTGCTTCAGAAATCCATTGTTTCTATAACTATTAAAATTAGAACTAAGATCTTGGAAGATTAGAATTTATTAGGATCTTTGAAATCTTATCGACTTTATACGTATATTTATTGCATTTTGATAATAGTGGCTTATGTGATTTTATTAAATGTTCATGAAGATCATGAGAAAGAAAAAAATATTTGGTGGAAAATTTACATGCAACTTAATGTAAATTGGATTATATTAAGGTCTTAATGAATTTTTTACTTGTAGTTTGATTTTTTTTTAAAGACTTTAAGAAAAATGTTTTTAGGAATAGTATGTGTTGATTTTTAAAATTTTTTGCCTATTATTTCGTATACACTATATCTCGTTTAAATATGTTTAAAATTATTGAAATCAAATTTTACAAATTTATATATATCAAATCAATTTATTAAATATATTTTTCCAATAATTTTAAATGACTTCTTCTCTAATTCTTTATCAAAAATAAAATAAAAAATTTAAACTAGACATATTCTCTCTACTCTTCAAACCTCATTACATTTCACTATTTCTCATTAAAACTTTAAAACTTTAAAATCTATTCTAAATTTCAACCTTTTGATATAAAATAATTTTTTATTCAACTTTCAAATTCAAAATCACTTCTTTCACAAAAACTTCACCGATCCAAGATTTCAAAATTACAAGAAGCTAATCCTTTGTATATGTATTATATCTCAGTGAAATTCCTTCAGAGTTGTATATAACTGTCGAATATCGTCTACGAGGGACGAAGCAACGGCGGCGATGAAGGAATAAATAAGAAGGACGACGCCGCCGCTGCGTTCTCGTCTCGTCGCGGCGGCTTGACTACTACTGGAAGCACGTCTTGCCCGAATATACGTCTGCGCGAGCGTATATACGCGAGCTTTTCTACATGAGTATTCCTCCCTCTACTACTTTCAACCGCAACGTTCGGCGCCGATCTGTCCCTCTCCCTTTTCTTCTCGTTTTTTCTTTATTTACCTGCACACGTGGATGTATTCGGTATAGTACAGTAACTTTTGTAATATTGCAAGATCGTAAAATAGCATTGAGCATCAAAATGGGCATATTTGAATGTTTAGACAAACATATTGATAGAAATTTGAGAAGATGAAAATTTGAATAATTAATATTTTAACGATATCAATGGATACTTTGATTATTTAGATTTAATATTGATGTTTTTAAAATTTTTTATCCAATCTGTTTTGTCTTTTTTATCGTCAAACAATTTCTGGAATTAGAAAATAATAAATAAAAATAAAAGAAAATAAAAGCATATAGAAAGATATATTAACTATATGAGGGAAATAAAAAACAAATAAAATATCATTTCTTTAATAATAATATAAATGCTTTTTAATAACAAATTAACTTGTCATACAGGTTAAATGACTTTGAATAATAAATATAGAAAGATAAAGAAAAAAATATTAATAAATGTCTATAATGTAAATACATATATCAAATATAAGAAAAATATATTTATTTTCATGTAATAGAATATTTTATAATAATCGTAAAAAAAAACTATTATATTTTGCATGCAAAAATTTTAACAATTGTTTCTGAAGTATATAAAACTGAATAAAAAACAAGTTTTTTTTCTACCCCTATAATTTCATATTTCGTTTTTATTTTATTAAAAAACGATATATTATACAACCATATTATATTTTTCATATAATTATTAAATTAAAAAAAAAATAATAAGATATTTATTATATAATAAATATTTAGATATTTAATATAGGTATTTATTATTTTCTTTTAATAATATTTACTTTATTATACATAAATAAAAATGTATTTCAGTTTGTATACGAAGTAATTTTAAATAATTCTTTCTTACTCTACTTTGTTGTATGTCTCTTTTTGTTGTATGCGATTTCAAAAAAACCGTTGGTATATAATTGGATGCTTTATATCTGTCCATTTTAATGTTTCTCTGCGCAGTGCTCTATGGGACACAGTGTATTCCCGCGTAGCAACGTTGCATTGCGTGTTATGGCTTCTTCCCTTGTCTTTTGAGATCTCGGTCAGAGAGAATTGATAGTAATCGTTATTTTTGTATTCTAAATCATACACTATCAACGTTTAAATTCTGGAAACTTTTCAAATTTTAACGGTAAGAGAAAAGTATTATTTCGTTTTTGGAAATCCCTTATTTCCTATAAAGTATTATATTCTATAATATTATATTTTATCAAGAAAGTAAGAAATATTCGATAATAAAATGTTTACAATTTTTTTATTATTATTTTTTTATTTTTTATATATTATGTTCATTTCGATATCGTATTTTAATTTTTTTTATATATGTTTTTGAATGAAATATCTTTTATTTTAAGAAAAGCAAATGTATTGCATTATTATTATATTATTATTATTATATTATATTATACTACTATATATACATGTATTGAAAGCGAAGATAATCTTATAAAAGGAAAGTATCATCAAGGATAGAAACTAAATTCTTATAATGCAACATTAGATCTATCCTAATTCTAACCTAACTTTCGTTCTACTTTGTCAGCTCTATTTACTAAATTTATCACCAACAAAGATTTTAATTTCCTTATTCTTGGAATTACAATTCTTCTTAGATCTTTACAATTAAGATCACGAAACTGTACCAATACATCTACGTAGTAATGTTCTATACATGTATATATTTGTACCTTCATAGAATATTTTCCAAGTCGTACATTTCACACGACAGAAACACAATATTCGGCGTAATGCGATATTTATCGATACTGTCCTCACGTGCGCATTCCTATTAACATTCCGTATGAAATCTGCAGATAGATAAGTGGAATGCCTTGCACGTTTACATATACTCTGGTATCTAGATGCATCTGTGCTTGTAAAGACGTGCATGCATGCAAAGTTCAACGAGCGCTGGGGAAGCTGGCGCTAAACAGCAATCCTTAACATTAGCCAACTGATCGGTGATTGTTGCTTCCTTCGTTATTTTTCTTGATAATACTATTATCCAATGTAGAAACGTGATCAAGCATAATTAAGGTTCGTGTACAATTCCTGATATATATCATAATAAATATACAAATAGAAATAGTAATCTCGAATGTATAGGTTAGGTGATATTTAAATATTAATTGATTATTATTAATTGATCGTGATAAATGTTCATTAAAAAATGGAAATTGCAAATTATATAAAATATAAAATTATTTGTTATAATATTAAAATGAAATATTTGCTACATTATAATACAGTAAGTACGTTATAATAGTAACATTATTATATATACATATACATCTTAAATAAAAAAGTTCATTTAAGAATATCATATGTATATATATCATTTAAATCAGAAACTAAATTTTATTTAGTTAAATTAAGAATATATTTAAGTACATAATAATTTTTTTCAAACAAATTTCATTTTTCTTCATAATATTATTATTAATTTATATAGAATTAATTTATAAATTTATAATTTTATGATTATAAAATATATATAATATAATTTTATGATTTAAAAATTTTAGAATTATATATTTTAAATTCATATTTTAAAAAGAAATATCATTCGTTGTAATCTTAAATATAATTTTAAATATAATTTTAAATATTCTTTGTTTCAATTATTCTAATTTTGACATTGATTGATCGCCATTATTTTTTTTTAAATATATTATATTTGAAACGTATAATTTAAATAGGAAAAATTCTCTACCTTTTAGATGTATTTTTATTTTTGAAATTCGAAAAACTAATAGTCTGTATGTTTATCTCGTCAATTATAGTTATACGTATTCTTTTTTGAATAGAATTGCTGAATATAAGAAAAGAAAAAAATATGGGACTATTATCTTCGTGATGTTTTTGTATTTTTTTGTGAGCTGTGAATTAAGGAAAATAACACAGGTGCACTATGCGAAGAACAAAAGAATACTTAAGGAAAGAAAAAATATTAACATTCTAGGTCACCGATTGTATAATACATTCACGATTAGAACGCATTCCTGTGACTTGTAACTTACCAAGGTTGTGGATTATCAAAATTGTTTGATAAGCATGATTCAAGGAATTATATCCGGCTAATACGGATAAATCTAATGCATTATATTACATACATTATATGTAATACATTCGAAAATCATTATGTGTGAGAGATTATTGCTTTATATATTTATTTATAATAAATTTTTTTAAATTGATTTTTAATATATTAATATATTCATTAATTATTATAAATGTAAATTTTATTTATTTAATGTATAATTTTCTATAAATTAAAATTAAATTAAATAAAATTGAATAATAACAAAAAAACATCATAAAAATATTCAGAATTATATAAATTTTATATTTATGTTTATAAAAATTATATTTTAGCGATAAAATGAACTAAATATAATGATTTGTTATCGTGAATAAATAATCATATTTGAATATTACATTTCATCATTATTTAATTTATAATAAATTATAAAAAAATTGCATACTAAATAAATAAAATTTATGTTTCTATTAATTATAACAAAGCAAAATTTGTTTTAAAAAATCAATTTAATAAAATTGTAAAATATAAATAAATATATTATAGATCAATAATTTCTAGGACATGATGCTTATAATGCAAATCATTGTATACATATGCATAGATTCACAGAGCTAAAGCATATACATATAATACTATTGTTGTAATTCAAGGAAAAAAAAGTAATGAAATTATAAAATTGATCATATTAAATTTTACAAAAAAATTTGAAGATTTGATGAATGAATTATAATAATAAATATAAAATGATCTAATTGTAAACTATTATTTTTGAATTAGTTTTTATTAAAAAACACAAAATAGTGTATATAATCTCAGTAAATTAAAGTTACTTGATATTTTATTGTAATTTAAAACTTTATTTATTTATTCTTTAGTTATTTAGTTATTTATTTTTTGGTAACTTATAGTATATCGTTTATTATATAAACTAATAAACGAATTTAATAATCTATTTAAAAAGATTTAGAGATTTTGAATCTATGAATTATAAAAATAAATCCGCCTTTCTTTAACTCGGTTACATTGATCAATGCAGGTAGAATGATCTAACTGAACTTAATCGAAGCATACAAACCTGAAGTGTGTGCTGAATAAATCCAACCTGAACTATTCTAATAGCATGCATCCGTGAGTATATGTAGGTTTAGTTTGTCACTATAAAAAATACGGATTTATATATTTCGTAATCAAAGATATTAAATCTAGTATTTTTATGTACGAATGTAAAGAATTATGAAATCTGATTTTAATCTAGTTCAAACTAGAAAGATAATATTAATCTACAGATATGGCATAACTCAAATATAATAAAAATATGTATTAAAGATATATGTGTATTTGAAAAATGTCATATTTACTATTATTATTGATAAAGCTGATTTGATTTTATAAATAATAAATAATAAAATATAAATAAAAAAAAATAAAAAATAAAATAAAATAATTTGCCAAATAATATTTTAAATTAAAAATATATATTTAACATATATTTTTATAAACATATATATTCATATATATTTTTAAATTGAATATAAGAATCATAATTATAAAAAAATATTATGATTACAATTATAGTAAATTAAAGTTACGAAATCATACAAATTTTGAATTGTTATAACAATTATATAATCGAAAATAGGATTTGTTTTTGATTAAAAATGATTGTAATAATCCTTTAATTTATTGCACTTTGATAAATTAATATTTTATTGTTTTCAGAACAAGAAGCAAATTATATAAATTTAAAACGCGATAACCACCTACGATATATGTCAGTATTATCTTATTGAATGAAAAAATATAAATTTGTACAACGAGCAATGATAAAGCTAAATATAAGAGTATATATATAAAGTGAGAAAGATAAGACACGATTGTTCAATACGATACCGAAGATAAGAAACGTATGATTGTATAATCATATCACATTATTATACTGTAGTGATTACACTGAAGGAGAGAAAGTGTTATAAAATTTTTATCCATAGCATTGATTTGTTACGAAACGTTCAATCGAGGAAAATCACCATAGATTCGTTTAAGAGAAATCTTGAAACTCGAAAGATAGAGAATCAAAATCTATGAAATTCCAATAATATATAATTTTTTTATATAACTGAATCTTCTTAGAAAAATTTTCTATTTTTAAATAATTTAAAGATTGATAACGATTAAATAAAAAAAAAAAGAAATTCTAGAGATAAATTTAGATTTATTAATGTGGATCACTTTCAAATTGGTCACTGTACTTTCAAGTTTAACAAATTTCAATTAATGATAAAAAAGATGGACATTTTTGACCCGATCAAAATGTATCTCCATGGACTAATAATAATTTTGATTAATTAGAAATATATAATATAAAATATGATCATACAAAAGCGCTTATTTCTCAATTGATAGTGTCACACAGTTTTACTAAATCAATTTTATGGCATTTAGTTTTGTTGAAATAACTTTAATTGCCTCAACAAAGATATATATTCAATAAATTTCTATTAAAAAAAACATAGATTTTAATGATTATCATTTTTATAGTCATTATATCAAAACGATCTAACAATGATTAATACTGATATCAATAATGGTAGCTGAATCTGATGTGGATTGATCTTTTTAATAGGACTCAATGAAATCATCGTAGATAAACACGTCATGCTGGATACATTCATATTAATATCAATTTCTCCGATATCATGATCGGCAGTAAAGATAGTCAAAATTCTATTATTGATTCTTATTCTTGTATCGTTGATATTTCTTATTGAATACCAACTCGATTAGTAGTAACTGGAATAATAATTTTTTCTCTATAGGGTGTCTTTATAAATCATCGACTCCCATGTTTGATAAGATGATATGAATGGAAAAAATACGTAAAGGTTACATAATAATAACGTTATCAAAAAAAAAGTGAATAGAATAATTTATATATTATTTTGTCAAGACAAAATTATATTTCTTATTTTTTAATTCGTTTCGAATTTGGTAATGACTAGCATTTTCTTTCCATAATCTGATCATATCTATCATAAGATTCTTGGTTATAACTAATGATGCAGAAGAATAACCAATGCTGAATAACAACCCTGTGATACTCGATAATCAGTAATACCATTTGTTTAAAACAGAATCATTTTTTTCTTTCTTTTCTTCATCACATCAATAATTGTAATCTAACTATTTCGAAATCTATACTACGTACGATGTTTCATTTGATTTTTAACAATCTTTCTAGAATTATACATATACTTTCACAACGAGAAATTCTCAAGGAGAATAGGTTTTCTTATTTACGTATATTCAATAAAAAATCACAAACAAACTGGTTATATCTACATTGTAGAATAATTTTGAAATATTTTAAATCTAATAACGAAGATAGAATAAAATAAATGAAGTTTAAGACTCGAATAGATTATCATTAAAATCATGATTAAAATAATTGATTTTCACATTGCATACATTATATATATGTTTAATGAGTCGACTTATAAAAGATAAATAAAATAATTAATCATAAAAAAAAAGTTTAAAAAAAATATTGTAAGATTGAGTTCGTAATTTTAAGACATTAAAATTCTTATAATTGGATATAGATTTTTTTCTCGTATACACAACGAAATAATTCTCAAGAAATTGAATATTTTTACAATAATTTTTTTGTTGAAATTTTTTTTTTATATTAAATTATTTAAATATTCTTGGTATATCTAGAATAATTTTAAACAAATTCTCCTTTTAATAATTTTAATGATCATTGAGTTTTTAGATAGATTAAATTAAATCAGATAGAGATTAAATCAAATAGAAATTTGAGATCCTAAGAATTAAAAAGTACATATTGTATTTTCCTAGATTAATCTCTCAAATGAACAAATCATGTAAGTAAATATCGGATATTCAAATGAGTACAAATAAATATCAGGCACTCAAATGAGTAAACCATATATATAAGCAAATATAAATACATCTATTGAATCAAATGAAGTAAGTGTTTCATTTATTATTTTAACTGATTATAGTTTTAAGGAATAAGTTTAAATCATAATTCATCAGTAATTTTAGCAATCAATTCGATTTGTTTATCTTCTCTGATTGGACTTGATGGATAGTGTACATATTGATTGACATTTTAAGGTATCGTTTACAAAAACGAAGATAGAAATTATATTGATCAAAAATACTTTATTGACTTACGTCAGTAGTTTTGTCAATAGTTCAGTTAAATTTCAGTTACGTCAATGTTAGTTTTTGCAAATGTAAATATAGCGTGATGCATTCTGAATGTAAATACAATATTGCATTTAAAACAGAATATCTTTTCATACATAAATATTTTGTTATGCCCAAATTGTTGATAATTCAAATTATGAATTTATATTTTATTTTTTACCAATTAACAGAATTATTTTTGTAATGTTTAATTTAATACATTGCAATAAATGAACGTTTTCATTTGTTATTCGTTCTTTGCAGTATAAAACAAATCTGTAATGTGCTTCGTAGATTAATGAGATATTCGGTGTTTCATACGATGTCTGGTCCTTTTCTTCAAGATTCTATTAATAACACCGGTTTCATGGATTAAATCATGATTTGAGAGAGATTTTAATATACAAGAAAACTGAATATATATATTCATTCGAATGGAATATTTATTAATTAAAAGATTCAACAAGACTTAATTTCTATTCCTTGGATAATTAAATGAAATAGAATTTTAATTCTACATTATTGTATACATCAAACATTTTTTGTTATTATTGCTACGGAAAATATATTTAATAAAATAGTTATTTTCGATTATCTTTTAAAATTCTATTTTTTTATATGTCAATTATATTTCTTTCTTTATTATTTTATTTCTATAGATAATTGAATTAATGACATGATGCATTTTTAAAGTAGCATTTTCATTTATTAATTTTCCTATTAATTATTATTATCTTCTATTATTTAATAATTATCTTTTATGTCACTTTTTTTTTAAATAAAAATTTATATACATATTTGATATTTATATAAATTAAAATTTATATACTTAAAAACATGTTTTTCAAACAAATTTCATTTTTCTTTAAGAAATTCTAGAAATCAAAACCAACAAAAGTTGATATATAAAAATATTGATTAAATCTTATTTATTATAAAAATTATAAACAAGTTTGTATTAGATGAAGCGAGATAGGAATCACATTCTTCCCTTTTTTGTTTAACGCATTCAAATTTCAGTTGCTTATATTTAATAAATAAGACTTAATCGACAACTTAATCGATTTTTATATAACAACTTTTGTGTTTATTTTGATCTCTAGAATCAATTTTCCAAAAAATATAATAACATCTTGTATAAATAATTTTATTTTTCTTCATATTTTTATTTTTATTTTTTCTTTTTTAGTTTTTTCTTTCACTTTAAATAAAATCTATATCTCTATAAATAATAAAAATGATATGGATATATAAGATATTGTCAATTTTTTTCTTGGAAAGAAAATTTTTGTAGAATATACACGATCCAATGCCGACCTTCGCCTTACATCAGCGATCTCTTTTTGTCCTCGAGACGTATATGGAATCCACATGGAGATATCGTGTTTTTGTACACTCCTTGGAAGATGCTTTTTCTGTAAAGGGTACTGATGCAACCGGATTCCAGAAAATGCACAACTTTCGATACTTATTCTTGCTTCTTTTATTGATATATTTAAAGATTTGTCTACTTATTTTTAAATAATTTTTTATAAATTATATTTAATTAAAATATTAAAAATTAGGAATCAATTTAAGAAAATATATATATTAAATAAAATTCTCAAAAAAATGTGCTTGAATGATTTGATATGTTACATTTAGAAAAATATGATATATTAGGTTTTGCCATCTAATTAAAGGAATGTACATTCATGCAATAAAATAAAAAATTTCTTATTCGAAAATTTAATTTCGCTTTATTAAACGTCAACGCTATATTTATTGAATTAAATTTGCATTAGGATGATATCGTACCCTTCCTTATCTTCGATCTTCGTTTTTCTCGACCAAGCTTAACTATTCTTAATGTAATAAAAGAAGATTCATGAACGAATGAATCATGTTTGTTCGAATGAACGCATGAATAATCTTAAGAGAATCGTGCAAATGTTGATCGCATTGCAATGAGAAATTAAACGAATTCTTTCTTTAGTGGAGCGAGTCTACGTGAAAGGTAAAATAAAAAGGTAAAATAAATTGATTTGTTACTTATGCAATGCAAATATGTTATTGTGTAACTTGCTCGACAATAGCCTCATTGTAAATAATAATCATGGTGGTTTTGATAAATCATATTTACTCGAGCGAAACCCATATGCTTTTATTTGTTTAATCGAATCAGTATTTTCGTAATCGATTGTAGGTTGTTCAAACTGTTATAACAGTATACAATTGTGTTTCTCTCATTAATAATCTTAAACAGCATGATTATTTATAGAGATATTCTTGGAAATGATCACTGATTCCAAGTTGTTGTTCTTGTTCATATACTTTACATATTTATAAAGATTTAAAAAAGATTATGATAGTAAAAGAACTTTATGAAAAAATATCTGATATTATAAATTTTTTAAAACTATAATAAAAACTTTACAATTTATTTTACAATTTAATAAAATCTTAATAAATCTTAATAAAATATAATCAAATATATTAATAATCATTCTGATTTTTATTATAAATTAAATAATAACATAATAAAAATGTCTTAGAAGAATTACATAATACGTTTGAACAAAGAGATAAGATTCAATTTTTTAAAAGAATTTTCAAATAATATAGTATTTTATATAGTAAACTTTTAAGAATAGAAATAAATTTAAAATTTAACCAATTTTCATCTCCTATAAAGGCCTGTTTTTAGGCGGCAGAACAGATTCATCCGTCACGGCTGAGACTTCCGTTCTTTGTTTGCAGTTTCTATTTCAGCATGTCCTCGACCAACCACAAAGGAAGACACCAGTTATCGAACACATCGAGCCAATCGTTTATCTCGAAATTATTTTTGTGTATCTTCTTTTTCGATAACGAGCATCACACGACTTAAAACGAAATTAAAACGCTATCTAGTTAATACAAGGGTATATACAAATGAATTAATTTGATCGTGGGTAAGTAAAAATTATGTTCAGTGTCGTATATTCCATTACAGAATCTCTATTGTTATCTTAAATTAAAGTTGATGTCATTCACTATCACACTTAGTCTATCTCTATCAATATAAACTTATATCGCGACAATAACGTTAATTCAAGTATAAGTGATATATAGTCAGTGTAATTCATGACACGAACAATATGATTTAGTTGATCGAATGCGTTTCGGAAACGTTAAATTTAGGTTTCCTGTGTATATTGTAAATCGAACAAGGTTAATAGCTTAGTTCCTCTTTCCATCGTGTAATTATGGATGGAAATTAATGGTGAATTCGAAGATTTGGTAATGTTAATTAATATTGATAGATAATAAATTTTTGTTTATACAAAATTTTGAATATACAATTTTTATCATTAATTCAAGAGTATGTTTAATTCTAATATTGATCTTTGGTTATTGAAAATTGGATTGCATATGCTTAATCATGCATTGCATTCTTAAATAATTGAGAATAATGAAAATGAATCTAATATTAAAAATACAAAGTATATCTTCGTTACATTTTCGAAAAAGGAATAAAATTTTTAGTAAAAACTAAATTAATAAGAAGAAAAACTATTTAAAATAGTATAAAAAAATTATTTTTAGTGATATTTAAAATATTATTAATATTGAAAATACATTTATACATCAAAATCAAATTAATTAGCATTAATAAATATAAAAAAAAATTCAAAAATTTAAATTGTTGTTTTGTTAATAAAAAAAAATAAATTAAAAATTGCATCCAATGTAACATTGATAAATAATTATTTCACGCGTGATTAAATCAATAAATGATATTCCTTATAAAGCTATAAGATTATTCTGGAACGTATTACAATAAACATATATATACAATAATGAATATAATTCATTCCATCAATTTATACCAGCAATACCAAGACGAAAATTTCTTCTTTACCGCGAAATATACCCCATAAACTACCATTAACGGTTCAATAAATGCCTTAATAAAAGCAAAGGATCGAGTCAAGATTCTATTACAAGATTCTATTTCTTCTTTGTATAAATTCATAAATCTAGTTAAACTACGGCGCATTTTGACATTATGTTATTTTTATAATTTTATTCAAAAATATAGATTAAGATAACGTAATAAAAATCTTACAAATTTATCGTGCAAATGTAATAATAGAATTTAAGTAAAAAAATAAAAAATATGTCTTACCAATTAAATATTAATATATTATTCTTATTATTATTTTTTACATAACATAATCTTTTCAAGCTGCTGATATAACATTGTCTGACGCCAAACCATTGTGATTGACATCGAATCAACGTTACATAAAGATACTTAGATCGTCTTATAGAACGAGCCAAAGGTGTGAACGTGATAAAAATCCCGGATCACATTTGATTCCGGATAAATAAACGGTTTTTTTAAAAAGCATTGTTCCTCGATATTTTGATAAGAACACGTATAATAACGAATAAATGAATTGATTTTAGATACAAGGAAGAGAAACGTTAAAAAACATTAGAAGGAAAAGAAAGTAAGTTTATTTGAAAATTCTGTTTTCAGAAAGCATAAGTAAAAAATATAAAATTTTAAAGATCAAGTAAATCTTTATTACTATGTTAATTTATAAAAAGATAATTAAAGAAAGAGAAGATATCGATCAAGAAAAGAGATTTAATCGATTATTTTTCATTTTCCTTGTACATTTATTATTTAAATCGCAATCAGATATCATCCGATTAGTTAAATCACGTTAAATCATTTATGTATATCTAATGTCAGTATATACACTTCTTGTGACGAATGCATATGAATGTGAAGTGAATACTTTGCATTACAAATCCAGGCGAAGAGAATAGTTACAGAAATAGCTTATGACTCAATATTTAGACAGCACATTTAATATGAACCATACGGAAATATATTTCTTGTGGTCAAAAATCGATGATCTATTTGATAAATATAGTTTACACGATTTCTATGAAACATTAGTCCGAAAAATCTTAAAATTCTAAAATCAGGTCCAAAGAGATCCAAAATCTTTTCAGACTAAAGATTTTTGAGTTAAAAATTCAGATCTAAAAAATTTCCAAATCACAATTTATAAGAATTCTTAGCTCGAAATCCTCAAATTTGTTGGTATTTAATAGATGATAATTTTAGATTGATTTTTGTTAATTGTTTCGAATTTACAATCCCTAGTTTTGAAATTTTACAATTTCAAATTAATTTCATGTAATATTCTTTCATTTTCATTGTTTGAATATCTTAGGATATATGAGCATTAAATATATAAAATTCTACACACTTTTGATCAAAATTGCCAGAATAACTTGCTTCTATTTTAACACTAAAATAAGGAAGTTTATGTTTAAAAATGTAGGTTTCATTCTAAATATACTTACTTTAGAGTCAGAGTTACCAAATAACGGGATCAAAAAATGGCTATCAGTGACATTACAAAGTAGCAGTATAAAGAACACGATTCCCAATCCTATCTAGAAAGAATGATATTAAACTGCATCATTGTTTCACTTACTCATTCTCTTTTTACTTTAGAAAAAATTTTCTATTTTCTACTTTAAATTACTCTAGAATAGGAGAAAGAAACTAAATGAGAAAATAAAGATTCAGTTAGTTGGCAATCTTGCTCAGCATTGCCACAAAAATTCCTTCTAAGAAAATAACGTCATATTATTCTTATTTTTTTGTCTCTTCTATTTATATTTATGATATAAATCAATTGTCTACTATATTAATCTGTTTCCTGATTTTCCTCAAAATAATAATCTTGGTCTCAATCCAAAAGTTAAAAGCGGTTAAAAGCGGTACACAAATTCAATTAATAATCAACTAGGATAAAATGATTGCAGTGAATGACAGTATAAGAAAACAATTTCTTCTTATTTTCGTTAATCTGAAAAAAATGAGTAAAAGTAGAATAATATTGGAGAAATCACATCATAACTCCACATAATGAAGCAATTATATCTCTATAAGCAAATCTTGTTACTGATATTTAACAGCCATTTTGCTTGGTATTTGGCAATTCTGATTCTCTTAGTTTGTTATCTTATTCCCAAAATATAATTTAACATCAGATTCTGCCTAGAATTCTCTCTAGCAATTCTGCTGCCAACTCTCTGACTAGAGAAAAAATCACAGAGTTATATATAATATTGGAACGAAGTAGAAAATATATCTTTTTAATCAATAGTAATAAGAATTATTTATAAGTTTTTTCTTTTATGTTTATTATTTTATGGTTTCATTTATTAATTATAAAATATACATTATTCATTTATATGTAAATAAAATAGGAAAATGATAGGAAAATAAAATGAAATTAAAAGCAAAGCCATATTATCGCTGTAAATATAAATTTATTGAAGTCTTACAGTGCTTAGATTGAACAAAAACATACGGCAAACTGAACAATTTAAGTACACCTATATCTTGTCAATAAATTCGCCGTATAAATATTATTTTACACCTATGTAAATTGTGTACGATTTTATGATATATTGTATATGTCTATGTATAATTTATATACAAATCCGATATAATGCCGTATATGTAAATATACATATACAATTGATTGTAGAAAATACAAATTATTCTTCACGAAATTTTTTTTTTTTTTAAAGACATTTTTTTTAAAGACATTTTATATCTCATACAAAGCAAATTCTTGATATTCGAATTTTGTACTTCTTTTTTTGCGTTTTATGTGTACACTTACGTATCATTGAAATTCGTAACAACAATGAACATTGTGTATTTTTTTATTATACATGTATGAAAGCCTTTCCCCTTTCAAAATTATGACAACTGTGAGCATGAATTATTATTATTATTATTATTATTATTATTATTATTTGTTTTATTTGTAATCAATTTAAAAGATAAGAATTGCTCAATAGTATCTTTCGTCGAATAAGTCTTTTATTGTACTTTTTATTGCGTTTTGTTTAGAATAATCTATAATAATCATATAAACGAAAGCATGTATACTAGGCATTAACGTTACGTGCCAAAGAAAATATTTAGAACATAACGTGATGATTTTAAAGTGAATGATGGCTTACATATTTACAAAGCTTAACTCTTAGTGGATATGACAATACAACAACAATTGTTGTTTTGTTTAATAATATATAAGATGATCTTACCCAAACTTTAATACAGTGAAAAAGAAACTAGACATTCAATACAAATTACAAATTAAATTGTAATAACAAGAAAAAAGAATATTTTCATCTTTATTTTTATCTCGAGAGGAAATTTTACTCGAGAATGAAAAATTTGTCTTTACTGTCATTAATTATTGAAATATTTTAAATCTCAAACTTTTCGCTTTAATTATTTGTCCTATTATTTGTAAATTAAACCTTACTTAACATAGCTAAATCAATATTAATGATTTCAGAAGAACAATACATATCAAAGACATCAGTCTTCTATATACAAAAATATAAGAATGGATAGAAGAAGATCGCAGATGAATGAAAAAGTTAACAAAAAATTGAACTATCTTTAAAAGATTATAATACACCATTTATAAAATGAAAACATTTCTTTCTCTATAATGCTGTATATAACTTTCCCTCCATTGGTTTAATCATTCATCGTATATTTATATTGTTCCCATATGTATCAAATAATCGACAAATATTATCGATTCGTTCTTTAGATATATCATTGTTTTTTTCATTCTTTCAAACACCGACTCTTCTCTAGAGTTTCCTTTACTCTAAACCCCCCTTTAGAAATTGTGCAATTGACTTAGCGACATTTAAGACGGAAGTGTTCACGCAAGTTTCATGTATATCGTGCGGTCTCTCATCTTGCAGTGCTTCAACTCCCTTAATGCCCTTTGCGCCTCGCTAGGCGACGCGAAAGCCACTCTGGCATCGCCCGTAGGCATACCTCTTTCGTTATACCGACGTATCACGTTCTCCCTTTTAACATCAAAGTCGCCAAAGAACTCGATGATCTCGTTAATGTCAGCTTTGAAAGGGACATTTTCCAAGGACAATACGCAACCAGGTTTACCAAAACCCTCCACTACGTAATCCATGGAACCTGGATGTCGACCTAACATGTGTCTAGGTATACCCATTAAGCCTGGAGGGCATCTAGGTCCGAAACCGGAATTACCAAAGCGAGGCAAATGATTCATAGGGCCGGAAAATCGTGGCCTCTGCTCCTGAAGAGGTGGAAAATGTTGCTGTTGCGTTTCCATTATCTGTGGATCCACCATTCCTAATGTTTCCAACATTTTCGCCCGTGGAACCAGCTCTATGGTAGGGACGTTCTTCCCAAAAGGTAAACCATTTTTGGCAGTAGCTCTGAGAGCTTCGTCTGCCGTGTCGAATTCACAGAAACATTCACCCGCGGGCTTCCCATTCTGATGTAACATGTGTATTCGATGGGGTACGATTCCAATGTCGGAGAAGAAGTCCAAGATATCACGGTCGATCGTCTGGAATGGTAGACCTCGCATTATAACGCAATCCGAACTGGCCGTTTGATTCATACTATTCTGCTCGTGATCGCGTTTCGCTTGAGCAAACTTTTCCTCGGTGATCGCTGTCGCTGTCACGGGTTTATTCCCAATTTTCAAAGACGTATTCACCGACGCTTTCGCGTCCTCTATTCTTGCAAATTGCACGTAGGCCATGCATTGGATACTTCCAGATTCCTTGGTACTAGTGATGAACAGATCATTGATTTTCCAATCGTGGAACAATTTGGCAATATCCATTTCTTTGGTAAAGGACGGTAGATCAGTTAACAAGATACAGGCAGATGATCTGACATCGTCTATTCCATCTTCTCCCCGATCTCTTTCCTTTTCAGGAGAATACGAATCCACAGCTTTGTCGAAGATACTTTCATCCAGATGCAAAACTTCCACCTCCGATCCTCTCACGAATCTGGTCGTGCTCAACGCTAGTTCCTTACCCTCGGCCTTGCTGAACTTAACGTAAGCGATACCAACACGATTTCCGTGATTATCGTTGATCAACTTGAGCCCATCTTTCCTTATATAGATACCTTGAAACGCGTGACGGACATCGTTATAAGTGGCGCTCAAAGGCATGTTACGAACCTCAACGCAGTGTCCACTTCCACTATTGTTTTTGTTCTCGTTCGAGAATCTGTTCGTCGAGCTACGATTCCCTGGCCTGTCATTCTCGAAGTTGAACTGTGAACTGTTCGTTTGGAAGGCGTGTGGATTGCGGCGACCCTCCAATTCTTGCACCTTGCTCAAAAACGGATTGTTCGGTCTGATTCCCGGCCTGTAATTCACAGAACCATTCGAACCGTATATATCCGCCCCAAACTGGCCCGACCTACCGGGGAATCTGACTTGATCCAATCTGCTTTGCTCGTTCTGATTCCACGGTTCTTTGCCCCGATTCAACGAGCTCACCCCGCTGCTCAAAT